CCCCAAAACCCCAAAACCCCAAAACCCCAAAACCCCTAGATTTTGATATAAAATTGTATTATATTTTTTAATCATCTTTGATCTTTTATGCAATTTCTTATTATATTTCATCTCCTTCACCTTCTTTTTTGTCAATCAAAATACTACAAATTAATCATCCTTTTTATACCTGTTCAATTCTTTGTCAAACAAATCTGTCGAATCCCTATTTATACTTATTTCAAACAGAATCCAACGATAAAACCTCTTACTTCTTCCCTTCTCCTTCTGTATCCTCCTCATCTCCATTCTCCCTACACTCCTCATCCCCCATATCCTACCTCTTCTTCCCCCTCCCAGAGAACCTATACGTGCCCTTATCCATCTTCCTCTTCATCCTAAACACTCACTCCTCTCCCTACTTCATCAACTTCACATCCTTAATCATCTTAGTATAAGGGTTCCTGGTCAGTTTCATTTTCTCTAAAATCTTCTCTTTCTCCTTCAAATCCTCCTGCTCCTTCTTATTCTCATCCACATCTGCATCTGCATCTTTGTAGTACATCTCTATTGTGTCCTCTAATTTATCGAACATTTTGGTAAGAATTCTGGATTTTAAGTGGGAAACTTTACTTTTTGTTCGTACGTTTCATGGCTTTGTGGTAGAGAGTGGGTTTTATGTACCATTTTGAGTAGTTTTTACGGCGAAGAAGGGAGTTCATTTTATTTGTCTAGGGGGTGTAAGTAGGGTCTGAGCAGGCTTACCTTGGTCTTTGTCTTTGAACTTGGACTGTGCTGTAGAGGGGATTAGAGAAAGCTTACCTTTGCCAAATTTATCCTTGTTAACGTTGTTGATTTTAATGTCAATTACTTTGTTCTCATTTTGGTGATCGAAGAAGAACAAACTTGACATTCTTGACTCAGTTTTGGCCTGAGCACCTGGCGCATTTAGTCTACTAATACGGGATTCTATTCGGGATGCTTGGTTTCGGAAATCATCGTTATTATTTAGTCTAGAGCTTCGATTTGCTATTTTCACTACAGGATTGAAAGAAGAATACTTTGGGAACTTCTGCCAAACTATATTTCTATGAGATATCAAAATACTTTCATTGGACTCTTGATAGTCATTCTTTTATTTTGTAGCTTCTTGAACTTTGTTCGAAATCAAGCCAGAAGGAGTTCCTTTGGCACGCATTGTGGTTAGCTTCGAAATCTGGATCATTCCGAAGTCCTGTTCGGCTGCTGGTGAAGGTATATTGAGCATCTTTTGAGGGATTTCAAGATTATTTTAACTCATCACCCAGGAACTTGCTGTCCTTTTTTCCATTATTTCTCTTTAATGAGCTTCTTTTTACAGAAGTGACCCTCTTCATTTGTTCCATAGACTCAATTTTTGAATTATTTGGGTTAAATTTCAAGCTATTTTTGAGAAATTGAGATACTTGGCCTTCTCGAATTTTGAGAAATTGTTAACAAGCATTGAGCTTCTGTTCTTCTTTGGTCTCTTTGGTTGATTAGCTCCTGAATTAGCCATATAATCCCTCATCTCTTCAGAACTAATTGAGGAATCGAGGGAGGATTCTATAAAGTTTAAGGGAACTTACTTAAAGCACTCTGTTTGGTATTGGAACTATTCCGAGAGGAGTCCCCTTCTCTATAAGTGTTCTAAATAGTTAGTGGATTTGAAGTAACCAGATTTATGCCACCAAAGTTTCGATTTCTACTTGAAACAGAAGATGAACTGTAGCCAGACTCTGAGACTATTTTAGACAACCTATTTTTCATTGTTTCCAAACTATTCGATGAGGGATATTATTACTCTGGACTTGACTCTTAAGCAATTTGGAGAACTTGCCCCTTGCCTACTGGTTGCTCTACTGAGTCTCGAGTGTCTAGACATTGCAGAAGTTCTGCCCATTGCCTTATTTTCTTACACTCACTTTTGTCGTGAATGGTTGTCTTTTTCCTTTAGATCTTGGTTTATTGTTATTTGTATTGAAATCAACAAGAAATTCAAAGAATTCCTCCTCGTTCTTTCTCACAAAAGATGTGAGGACCTAAAGTTTGCCCAAGGAGCTTACTTCTCCTCCTCCTTCTATCTCAAACCTGACTCTTCCTGTCTGAGGAATTGGGTTATTATCATCTAAAGAATATCATAAATCGCTTACTCTCGTCAATAATTCTGAATGTTATTGGCTTTGGCTTGACTTGTTGTACTATTTCTTCCTAAAGCTCGTGAGCAGCATTTACAGCTTTGATCTGGTTAATCTCGAAATTGAAAAGTACATCCAGAGGGATATGGGACTATATATGATGAAGGAGATTTACCTCCTTAACTTTGTAAGTGTATGGGATTTTCTCGTCCTTCTTCTTATTTACCCCTAAAATTGCACTTAAGGGCTTACATATATGCAGTCTTGGTGCGGTTTCTGGTTTTAATGAATCTGCTGAAATCTCTCCAGCTTTCTTTATCAATTTTGTGATATTTCAAGTCGTTTGGAGTGATTAGCTACACATTTTTGAAATATAGTAGTACCTCTTGGTCCCATCTGACTGCATGGAGATCAACTTCGTGCTTTCCTTTTTCTATTTCGCCCTTATCATTGATTTTCACTAAAAAATTATCCTAATTCTTCCTATGGTTTACCTTCTATATAGAGTTTAACAAGGAAATTTTAGGTGAAATACCTGTGATTATGACCTCTTTCTTCTTGATTATACTTTCTCGTTTGAATCTAGCCCTCATTTTAGCAGTCTCCACCAAGTCACGCTTGCTATAGAGTCAAAGTTCAGGATTACACATTGTAAAGATTCCTGCCACTGCTGATCCTTTCCAGATCCTTTGGGCTCAGAGGAGAAGTGACTATGGGTTTTGGACTGAACACATTCCTAATCTTGAGTTTGTTCTTGATGCCTAGTCGGAACTTCGGATTGTACCTCATCTTATTTCTACCCATCACATCGCTAGTCAAATTGTTTGCATTGCTAATATGAATTATACTAAATAAGAATACAATAGAGGCTTTGGTACTAAATTTCTGCCTATCATTTTCCTTGGGTTGTTAAATTAGTGTCCTGAATATTACGAGAAATGGTACTTGTTAGCCGAGTAATTATTCCTCACATTGAAGGCTATTAGAGAGAAGGGTTAGACGAGCAGCTTACTATTGCTCCTTTGACTATCGATAGTCTCTTTGGAAGGGAATGCTTGGGATAAAGACTTGTCATAATCTTGAAATTTTGTATTAATGAAATTTGATATATCTGAATTATCTCTCTTCATTGTTCTGTCAACTTTATCGTATTTTTCAAAGTCTGTAAAACGAAAATTGAGACAAAATAAAAGCTAAATTTAAAATATGAAAGAAGCAAAGCCATACGGTCATATTTAATAGGCCTTCTGGTTCTATAGAGACTGGTACTAATCCCTCTCACTTGTCTTGATGGAGAGATCAGTCGTATCGGTGATTTCAATGTGTTGTGGAAGTCCTTTGTTCCATGAAATGTATTCTTCAATTCTGAATAAGTAGTACTCTTCAAGTCCCTAAAAATAGACATTTTTATATTTATAATTTCTCAAATATAGATTTTTAGAATGGGGTTTTGGGGTTTTGGGGTTTTGGGG